TCAGCCTCATTCTAAAGGAACAAGGCTAATTTATGCTGTCTTCATCAGCTAATTTTGAACCCTTTATTCAGGTGTATTTGGCAGAACAAATGCAGGTTCAATGAGTGAAAAGAGAGACTGACTAACTAAAGTACCTTTGGTAAGATCAAAGGCATCAGCTTTAGATGTCTGAAATGAAACAAGAATTTTGTTAGAGCTAAATCTGTTTCACTGGACTATGTGGAAAAATCAACCTTCAACTCAGCTGGTAAAAACTGGAAATACATTGTAGGCTCTCATATCAGTCTCTTTTTTTCCAGCAGCAGCACTTCTTTGATGATGAGGACAGAACAGTTCCAAGCACACCAACTCTTGTAGTTCCACATCGTACAGATGGATTTGCAGAAGCCATTCAGTAAGTAGATATGAAAAGAAAAAGGAAAAAAAAGGCTTTTCTCTATTCTATTTCTTTATATTTTTCAGTGAAATGAAAATAAATTTAAATTAAATGAACTTGTGATTGGAGTAATATGCTAGGTAGTAGGATAGATAACTGCATGTGCAGATAAGTAATTATTGTTTGAACTGTCTGTCATATAACTGATCAGCAAACTAAGAAGTGAATATTCTCCAGTGTATTGTAACCTAGTGATTTAAGAAGAGATTAAACAAACAAAAAAAATTCTATCCAATTTCCTTCCTTGTTCTTCCTCCCTCCCCATTAATATTACCAATGAAAGTAGGGAAAGTTACCTCTATTTTTGCTTTTGAGACATGTCCAGCAATGCATGTAAAATTGAGAGTTCATAGAATGGATATTCTCCTCAGGACTGTTGTACTGATTTTGAATGTGTTCCCAATAATCTGAGAAGTTAATTGATCTTTATTTAGCAGTAGCTCAGCTGATTTTTACGGTCAGTATTAGCTCATGTTGTCTCATGCACGATTTTTTCTCTTAGTCAGAAAGTTCTTCCCACCCTGCCCTGATCTTTGGGGAAGTCACAGAATTCCTTATATCTGTATTTTTCCAGTTCCCCCCAGGTAGCTGGAGTTCCTCGGTTCAGATTTGGGCCTCCTGAGGATATGCCACAAACCAGCTCCAGTCACTCTGATCTTGGGCAGCTGGCATCACAAGGAGGTAAAGCTGTTCTGGGCTCTCTTTTCCATGGGTGTTTGAGTGAAAAACAGAGAATTCAGTCAACAAAATACAATTCTGCTTCAGGAAATTGTTGAAGTGTGGAAACGTGCATCTCTTAAATAATTGTCTGCAGCGAGAGAATAACAAAAAGTGAGAAGACGTTATCTTCAAGCTGCTACATTTCTAGTTGTGTTAGGATTTTGAAATTGAATGAAATATTGAAGGAATGGTTTTTAACTTAAATTTTACTATTGTAGCTTCTCTGTAGTGAAACAATAGGGGAAAAACAGCAAATGCAAAAAAATCTTTGAGTCATATCCTTATCTGCTCAGAGATCGTCAGGCTGTTGTGTTTGTGTTGGTCTGAATCTGTCTCTTTCCCCAGCATCCCTGTTGGCATGGAACACAGGCTGTTCTCTAAAGAAAGATCACAGCAAAATAATGGCATAAGGCAAGGATGAAAGTTAAAAAAAACCAAGTATTTTCATCAAGGTTTTACCTCCCAATAAATTATGATCAGCTCTGACACCAAGTCAAAACAAAATTACAAAAATCTGCTTAAATACAAGTGACTGAATTTTATCAAGTGTCCGGAGGGAAGACATCGGTTAATCCTTTTTTTAGCTGCTTATTTGGATGGATTGTCACTGGAACTTTGTGTTGCAGGTTTAGGGATGTATGAAACCCCACTATTCCTTGCCCATGAGGAAGAATCAGGGGGTCGTAGTGTCCCCACAACACCGTTACAAGTGGCAGCACCAGGTAAGTGGCAGAGATTTGCAGAGCAAAGCAGGGAATGATTCCCCATGGTTGGTGCAGTGCTGCTGCAGCCTGTCCCCGAGCTGCCTGTGCTGCTCTGTGGGCAGGCCCTGAGGGTGTCTGTGTTCCCCAGTGACGGTGTTCACAGAGAGCGCCTCAGCCGATGCCTCGGAGCATGCATCCCAGTCCGTGCCCATGGTCACCACCTCCACCGGCAGCCTGTCCACCACCACCGAGCCTGGCACCGGCGACGATGCTGACGAGGTCTTTGCAGAGGCAGAGTCTGAAGGGTAAAGCACCGCTGCTTTGGTTCACTAGCACTTCTGACATGTTCATTGTCACCCAAGGACAGCTCAGACAGCATTTTGTAATGCTGTGAAGCAGGACAATATGACACTTAATCCAGAACCAATGGTTTTCTGCTGATCTTCTTGGCATTTAACAAAGTTAATATAAAAGTCAGGAAAAAAAAAAATTGTAATTTTTAAGAATGCAGAGGACTCTGTAATAGTCAAATACTGATGGTAAAGGCACAGGTTGAAGGATCAATTTGTAAAATAAAGACTAAGGCAGTCCTGTGTAATACAGAAAATCACTCCTCATGCAAAGCACACATATGAGATTAAGTCACTCATTTAAGACAGTGCATGTACAAAAGATGAAACACGGGGCTGGAATAAGCAGTTCTTACTAAATTTTGTAGACAAATAATTTGGTCTTTTGCTTTACAAGTGCAACTTTTAATATTTGTAATATTTATAATAATTGCTATATTTTTTATTATGATGAAGTAAAGATCTAAAAGGGGACCATTTATAATTTTATGCTTTATTTTACTTTTTATTTTCATTTAATCTTTATGTTCCAAGACAAGGGGTTTTTCTGGACCTTTTTGAAACTATGCAAGTACACTTACATGGTTCTCTTCCCCCTCCTTCCCTTCTAGCATTACTTCAGAAGCAGGTCTAGAAATCGATAGCCAGCAAGAAGAAGAATCTGTTCAAGCATCTGATGAGTCAGATCTTCCTTCAACTAGTCAGGATCCTCCTTCAAGTTCATCTGCAGGTACAGGATAATCACAGTAATAGTTTGTACCTTTACTTGAAGAGTGGGAATTCCTTTGTCCAGCATCATGGCTGGTAGCCAGGATACACAAAGATAAAACTCTTAGAATCACAGACTCATAAAATGGTTTGGAAAGAAGGGATCTTAAAGCCCATCCAGTTCCACCCCTGCCATGGGCAGGGACACCTTCCACTATCTCAGGTTGTTTGAGGCTTTGTCCTGCCTGACCTTGAACACTTCCAAGGATCCAGAGGCAGACACAGCTTCTCTGGACAAGGCCTCCCCACCATCACAAAGAAAAATTCTTTCCCAATATCCCATCTGACCCTGCCCTCTGACAGTGGGAAGCCATTCCCCCTTGTCCTGTCCTTACAGTCCATTGTCCCAAATCCCTTTCCAGCTCTCCTGGACCCCCTTTAGTCACTGGAAGGGGCTCTAAGGTCTCCCCAGATTCTCTTAGAGCAAGATCATATTTTGATGTTTATAATTCTTTGGTACATTGGCAAATCATTTTTCTTTGGACCACAGTAACTGGAGTAGGCCAAGTAAGAATAACATTTCAAGGAGCAAATGTTATTTATACTTTGGTGATTTATCCACTGGCATATTTGATGTCAGCTTAAAAAATATTTTTAATTAAATTATGAAACAACAGTAAGTTAATCTCTATTGAGTTATCAATTAACCTTCTTGTATTGATGGCAAAAGAAGTCCCAGACTTACTTGTTTCAAAGCTTTTATTTATAATAGAGGAGAGGTCAATGAAATAAGGAGACACCTTCATCATTCTAAAGTAAAGAAAGCATAACACATACCAAAACATGTAAAGATGAAGAGTGAGAACCTGGCAGGCACAGCCATCCTTTCTGTACTGCCTCTTCCCACAGACACGAGCAGCACTCAGCCCAAGTCCTTGCGCCGTGTCCGGCTGCAGCCCCCAACACTGAGGACAGGCGTGCGTGGCCGGCAGTTCAACAGGCAGAGGGGTAAGTGCTCCTGGCTGCTCCCAGCCAGGCTGCTGCAAACATGGCTCTAGCCCTTTCCTCCCTTGGGTACCACATCTAAAGCTTTACAGGCTGGCCTTGCTGGCAGACAGGGAGTGACACAGCAGCCCTGTCTTGAGTTTGGTGTGTGACCCTAAGAGCTCTAGTTTGGGTTTAGTGTGTTAGGCTGAGCAAACTTCCTTCTGCAGTGGCACCTGGCTCTTATCAGTAGAGAGAAAGTAAAGGGCACTAGATCTTATACTTCAAAGTTTTAAGGGTAGGTTTCAAAAGTCCTGTTAGGACAGCAGTTTAGAAACTTCTGGTTTTAGCATTAGAGGAATTTCCATTTGGTACATTAAGGGTTCCAGTTATATCAATGCGTACTCATTGGAAAAAGGTTTATTGGAAGGATTACAGGTTTTTTTGTGCAGTAGAGTTAAACCATGACAAGAAATTATTTTTGCAACTTCTGTATTAAGAAAAAGCCTGAGATTTTATTCTGTTTTGTATTATTTTAACATTGTAGAAAACTCAGTATTAGCGTTGAAGTATAGATTAGCTGGTATTTTAAGGGGAAAAAATAAGGAGGTGGGCCTAGGATAGATTTTCTTCCATCTGTCAACATTTTTTTAAATAATGAAAAGGAGGGACTACCTGATTTCAGATGTTGTAGGAGTCCTCTGCTCACTGGTTTATCTCAGGATCACAAGTCAGCCCCAGCCTTTTGCATGACACAGGTGACATGTACATGTGTCACCAGGCTTAGGGGGAAAGAGGGGAACTTGAACTGTATCAGAAAGGAACCACTCCCCTGCCCTGAAAATTCCTTAGGGAAGGATGAAATATCAGCTGTGCAGTGGTTGATTAAAAGGGTAAGAAGGGTTTATAATAATGCACTTGTTTTCTTTCCCTGCACAGGTGTAACTCATGCCATGGGAGGCAGAGGAGGCCTGAACAGAGGAAACATTAGTTAAATGAAATGTAAAGTACTTCCAGCTGTGTATACAAAATGCCAGTTTGCCTGTGATTGCTTAGTGTAATGAAGCCAGAGCTTGAAGCAGCATTTCATACTTAGAGTTGTGTGCACACATTTCAATGTCTTTTATTAATAAAATTAGAAAAAACATTGACATTCAAATGGCATCTTGTTTTAAACTCCCCTGCTGCGCATCACTTGCTGGGACAGTTGTACCAGTCTTTGGATACAGTTTTTCCTGTGAGAGCAGTAACAGGTCGTGCTATTCTTTTGCCAATATCCAAACTGTAGTACCGATCTGAAAGGAAGAGAGGTCAGGATTAAATTCCAGAAACAACATTTAATATATGGGAAGAATTCACAAATTCAAGCCTGCGTTTTAATGTCACTTAGGCCTCAATTACAGATTTTCCATTCCATGTGCATATAGGGAGCTGAGAGACTCCAACAGGAAATTTCTGTCCTCAGCTTTATTTTTCAGGTGTCCTTGGTTACACTAAGTTTTACAGCACTGCTAATAATTAAATCTGTTCCAGGAGCAGGGAAGAAAGTTCTTGTATTGTTAGAACACAGAAATAGTCACAAGAGTTTGGAAATCAAATAAACTACATCCACCACAATCCTGCACTCACTACAGAAGTGGGAAGTCCACGGTCCCTGAGTGTGAATGGGCCTGTGAGGCTGATTCCTCCAAGGTGAGGAACTGGATCTTCCTGACAGGGACTTTAATAGCCTGTATTTGGTTATGGCTTGTTCTTACAGTTTGTTGGTTTTTGCTTTTTTTTTTTAAATGCAGAAAATTCTGAGGAATGCTTATATGGGACCCTGGTTTGGGGAATGAATCTACCTAATCTAGGATCATAAATACTGTTTCTGAGCAAAGTCAAGTAGTTCATCTCCCTCCCTTTTGTGTTTTCTCAGAAACGTAGCTCCATAGAAGCTATTGAAAAATTTGCTGTGTAGCTATTTAAAGACTTCAGTCTATCATTAACATAATCCTTAATTTAAGTGCAAGGTTTGTCACTTTACAAGGCTGAATTCCCTGGCAATGACTGCCCCAGTTCGCTGCTTTGAACCTCTGTATTTCATTGCTGCACGTTGTCCTGTAATTACAGATTTCTAATACAAACATCTCCTGATTATGGGCAACATTTTAGTTCTCAGGATTTCCTAGTAGTGCTGAAAGTAGTACCACAAGTGGTAACAGGAGCTTCTTTCTTCCCCACCCCCATGTCTTTTGAGATCCATAGTGATATGCTTTAGCTTTACTTACTGTAAGAGAAGGCGTAGTAATCGTAGCCATCGGGCTTGTTCTGGTTGGGCACAGAGAGAGTTGAGTGGATAACTTTGGGGAGCCCTCTCCAGTATGTTGTCATTTGGATTTCCTTGCGCAGAGCTCCTGCAAGCAAAAAGAACCCTCTGTGAGGAGCTGCGGCACTGCTGCATCTGCCATAGGGCTGTTGTCACCTACAGCCATTAAAACCTTCCAAACACAGTGTTGTGTGAGAACCTACAGAGGTAAAAGCATCCATGTAAGAGAACCGTAATGCCCACATTACCAGAGGGGTGGGGGTTGATCCTGACAGTGCGGATGATGGTTGGCATTTGCACAGCACGCTGGAAGCGTCGCCGGATGACAAGTCTGGGAACAAAGGCTGGATATCTGATGGTGACACGAGCTCGTCTTTGACACTTCTTGGCTGGTTCTTGTCTGTACACGTACTGCTGCATGTTCCCATCTAAAACACATTTGTTTTGTTAGGTCAAAAAAAAATAAACCCCTCCCTCTCCCCCAAAAACACACCCAAACACCCGCTTGATCAGGTATGAAAATGTCATTACATTCATATTGCACACAGGAAATCAATAACAAATAACATTCTTGTGGTGGCAGTACACCGTTCATGTAAGATAAGGAAATTTCTTTAAAATAGAAAATCAGAAATAGAGATGGAAATTTCTACACATAAGAACTAGGAAGAATAAAGCCTTTCCTTCTCAAATTAACTTGAGACTAAAATAGCTTTACCACCAGATGAAACTTATTTCAGTGTTTAGCCACTACAGTGCTGGATTCCTGGATTCCCACCCTTACAGGTCTGGTTTAAAATGCACTAAAAGACCTCCAAGTACTAATACAAATTTTTTAAAGCTTCAGGCTATTTTTGAGGACCTGGAACATGGGCATCATTTGTGTTTGAAAGAAATAGGTCTTGGGTCAAGAGAAATGGTGTTTTACTCCTGACTAAGGTAATTCAAGCACTTTTTGATGTTCCCTGAACTTCAGGAATATAAGACATACCTCTTTTGATAAAATAAACAGATTCTGGTCTGTTGTTGTATCTTGCCACAGGGAGCGTTGCTACTATTCTCCCACTTAACCCTGCAAATCCAGTTGCAAGAGGTTTGGGATAGCCTTTATCCATAACACCATTAGTGAAGCGCCAGTACAGGGGACCCTGAGCATTTAAGGAAAAGAAAATGAGTTTTAGAGGAGGTTAATTCCTGGTTATTGAACTTCAGAAAAAAAAACGTGAAGAATAATCCATAAATAAGCACTAGCGCTTTGATTACCACATTGTAAATCTGACTGGAATCACTCCTACATCCATCACAAATTGGATAAATCTACTACAGCTTCATTAAGTACCTCCTGCAGCCTTTTAACCTTTGGATAGGGATAGAGTACCTTAGAAGCTAATTTTTAAGAGGGGTTACTGAACAAAGAGATGTTTTTATAAATCTTTTAAATTTTCATAGATATAATAAGCAGCTTGAATTCTAGGACTGAGTGATTTACTGGGAAATAACTATATAACAGCTTTAATGAGGTGTGGGCATTTCATTAGTATTTTATTTCAGGTTGCGAAACATACTAGGAATAAGTTCAGGCAATTTTTTTTACACAATATCCAATCTAAACCTCCCCTGGTGCAACCTGAGGCCCTTTCCTCTCATCTTGTCCCTTTTCCCTGGGAGCAGAGCTCAACTCCCCTCAACTGCCTTATCCTGTCAGGGAGCTGTGGAGAGTCATAAGGTCCCCCCTAAGCCTCCTTTCCTCCAGAATGAGCCTCCCCAGCTGCTCCTCATCAGCCTCGCCCCATCCTGCCGGCCGGGGCCGCTCTCACCTTGATGAAGAAGGTTTTCCCATCGCAGTTACACCTGGAAAAGACAGAGTCGATGGGCGAGGGGATGCCCCAGCCGTCGCTGATCCGGCGGGGGTTGGTGGTCGGTGGGGTCCGGCCGTTCAGCAGCCAATAATAGTGACCTGGGGGGGCGACAGGCGTGAGGGGTGCTGGGGACAGCACGACCTGTCCCGGGGACGGTGCGGGGACGCCACCGTCCTGCCCCGGGGGCGTGGCTGAGCCGGCCCCGTGAGGGGTGTGCCGGGGCGGGCTCTGGGCTCGGGAGAGTTTCCTGAGGGGCACCTTGGCGAGTGAGGGAGGAAAAAGAGGAGGAAGAGCGACGGGGCAGGTCAAGGAGGAGGTGAAGTTAAAGCATTGGGTCCGGGAAAGGTGAAGGAGGAGATCTGGCGCTTGCGGGAGAAGGAGGAGGGCTGGGACCAGGGCCGGAGCCAGAGCCGGATAGGTGAAGGAGGAATGGGGCCATGCCCGGGCAGGTGGAGGATCTTCGGAGCACTCTCACCTCGGAAGACGGCCAGGGTGCCATTGGGCAGGGCCACCATGCCGTCTGCTGGCTTGCCGCTGCACAGGTCCTTCTCCTCGTTCTTCCTCTCTGCAAAACACAGACAGCTGGGTTTGTTTAAGACTCAACAAGAACGGCCTTAGCTTTCCCTCTCGGCCCCGCCTGTGGGCTAGGGATTGAGGAGCTGAACGCGTCCTCGTCGGGGTGCCCGACTGTGGCCCCAGCAGTGCCGAGTGACCAGGTGTGGGCGTCTTTGCTTATTGCCACCTAAGTACCTGTAATTCAGGAAAACACCTACAAACACCTCGTATGTTACATCCCTCATGGACTTACTGCATGCTCAGGGATTTTATTGTTCCTTTAACTGCTTTAGCGTTTTCTCTTCCCTCTTGTTATTTCTTTAAAAGGAAAAAGGAAAAGCATTTATGCTTTCTTTCAGTTATATATATATGCAGTTAAATATAAAGGAAAGATGAATCTCTTTTAGACTGAAATTCAAATATTTTGCATCTAAACCCCTAATTTTTCCCACCAAAATATATTTCAATATAGGATTGAAAAATTTCCCAAGAACCTGCTATGTCTGATTAAAATACAGAGAGGGCATGAAAAAGGCTGCGGCAAAAAGCACCAATGCAAGAGACTTCTTGTCTCTTTTATATGACATTTTTAGTAGGTGGCTACGAAACACCAGATTAGGTACCATGAGGGAGGATGGATGTGCAGCCTGACTTCTAGCAATTTTTTCATGGGATTTAGAAATTTGTCATCTATTTTCCTTGACTTTTTGTCTGTTTGCATCTTCTACAATAGCAAATAGGAGGAGGAGAAACTTAGAGCAAACAATTTTCAGTAGGACCAATTATTTTACTGAAACCAATTAATTTAGTTCATGTTCTAAACTGCCTGAAGGATTTAACTCCACAGCTGAGAACTGAGGTTCCAGTATTCAGGACACTGGCAGCTGTGGTGCTGTGGCTGCCTATAGGACACTGCCATGTTCCCTTGAGTTACTGATGCTTTCATACTTACTGGAATGCACTTACCTTGTGTTTCTCCAGGGAACATTGGCAGGTCCCCAACTTGTATTAAAGGTTTGTTTATCTCGGGCTCTTCTTTCACTGGCAGAGTTTCAGGTTCAGTTGGATGAGCCTCTTCTCTGGCATCAGTGACTTCCTGGAAATGTATTGTTGGCTTGGATGTCCCATTGGACACAAGATACATTTCTTCTATTGTGTCCTTTTTATCTCTTGTTGTAGTTTCTTTGGTAACTGTAGTTACCTCTTCTTTGTCAATACCAGGAGCCTTTTCAGTGACATCTTCCATTTCTTTTTCAGGTGTCCCCACTTCTTTGATGTTTGTTACCTCTTTTTTACCAGTTGTTGTCATCTCCACAATAACACAAGTAGCACCTGGGCTGTCTTTATGTGCTGCTGGCCCAGCCTGCTCAGTGTCTGTAGCTGTCTCTTTTTCATTTGGTGTTGCAGCCTCACTGGGTTGAGGAGTTGAATATTCTTTAATGGTTGTTACCAGCACACTGGGACTGGAAAAGGGAGCTGTGGCTGCTGTTGTTGCAGTCTTGGTGTCTATAGAAGTTGTTTCTGATTCAGCTGCTGCAGTGACAGGTTGCTTGGCCATAGGAGATGTGTCTGGAATGTCATCCATACCTTTAGGAGAATCTGGTTTAGCTGTTGTCACCATAGCTACTGTAACTGTGTCTTTCCCAGTTGCAGCTGTAAAAATGTCTTTAAGCAGAGTAGTTCTGTCTTTCTTTGGTGTTGTCATCTCCTTGTTCTCCACTGTGGCATCTGTAAGTATTGTGCCTGCCTCAGGTGTGGGGGAGTCCTTCCCAGCTGTTGTGGCTGCAGCATTGTCTGGAGAAGCTGTGGCTTTACTGGCAGTGGTATAGGCATCAAGTGCTGCAGGGCTGGTCGGAGAGTCAGAATCTTCTTCTTTAAAGGTGGTAGGAGAGTCTGGCTTGGTTGTAGTTTTTTCTGTGGTTGTTTCTTTGGATTTGGGGGTAGTTGGAGAGTTTGCCTTGGTTGTTGGCTCCTCTGGGGTAGTCCCCTCTGGTTTGGGGGTTGTTGGCTCCTCTGGGGTTGTTTCTTCAGGTTTTGGGGTGGTGGGAGAGTCTGCCTTGGTTGAAGGCTTTTCTGGAGTTGTCTCCTCAGGTTTGGGGGTTGTTGGCTCTTCTGGGGTTGTCTCTTTAGGGTTAGTGGTGGTGGGAGAGTCTGCTAAAGTCGCTGGCTCTTCAGGAGTTGTCTCCTCTGGTGTGGGGATGATCAGCTCCTTGGATGATGTCTCTTCGGGTTTAGGGGTTGTTGGCTCCTCTGAGGCTGTCTCCTCTTGTTTAGGGGTTGTGGGCTCCTCAGGTGTGGGAGTCGTTGGCTGCTCTGGGGTTGTCTTCTCTGGTATAGGGGTGGTTGGCTCCTCTGAGGTTGTCTCTTCTGGTTTAGGGGTTATTGGCTCCTCTGGGGTTGTCTCCTCAGGTATAGAGGTGGTTGGCTCCTCTGGAGTTGTCTTGTCTGGTGTGGGAGTTGTGGGCTCCTCTGGGGTTATCTCCTCTGGTGGAGGGGTGGTCGGCTCCTCTGATGTTGTCTCTTCTGGTTTAGGGGTTGTGGGCTCCTCTGGGGTTGTTTCCTCTGGTGTAGGGGTTGTAGGCTGCTCTGGAGTTGTCTCCTCTGGTGTGGGGGTGGTCAGCTCCTTTGGGGTTGTCTCCTCTGGTGGAGGGGTTGTCTCCTCTGGTGGAGGGGTTGTCTCCTCTGGTGGAGGGGTTGTCTCCTCTGGAGTTGTTTCCTCTGGTGGTGGGGTTGTCTCCTCTGGGGTTGTTTCCTCTGGTGGAGGGGTTGTCTCCTCTGGTGGAGGGGTTGTCTCCTCTGGTGGAGTGGTTTCTTCTGGTGGAGGGGTTGTCTCCTCTGGTGTGGGGGTGGTCGGCTCCTCTGGGGTTATCTCCTCTGGTGGAGGGGTGGTTGGCTCCTCTGGGGTTGTCTCCTCTGGTGGAGGGGTTGTCTCCTCTGGTGGAGGGGTTGTCTCCTCTGGTGGAGGGGTGGTCGGCTCCTCTGGAGTTGTCTCCTCTGGTGGAGGGGTTGTCTCCTCTGGTGTGGGGGTGGTCGGCTCCTCTGGGGTTGTCTCCTCTGGTAGTGGGGTGGTTGGCTCCTCTGGGGTTGTTTCCTCTGGTGGAGGGGTTGTCTCCTCTGGTGGTGGGGTGGTCAGCTCCTCTGGGGTTGTTTCCTCTGGTGGAGGGGTGGTTGTCTCCTCTGGGGTTGTTTCCTCTGGTGGAGGGGTTGTCTCCTCTGGTGGAGGGGTTGTCTCCTCTGGTGGAGGGGTGGTCTCCTCTGGAGTTGTTTCCTCTGGTGGAGGGGTTGTTTCCTCTGGTGTGGGGGTGGTCGGCTCCTCTGGGCTTGTCTCCTCTGGTGTGGGAGGGGTTGTCTCCTCTGGCGTTGTTTCCTCTGGTGGAGGGGTTGTCTCCTCTGGTGGAGGGGTGGTGGGAGGCTCAGAGTCAGTTGCTGGTACCTCGGTGGCGTCAGGGGTTGGATCCTGTGTTGGGAGGTCTGTGGGGTCCACTTCAGTCAGTGGTTCCTCTGTGGCATCAGGGGTCACATCTTCTGCCACTTCTGGAGTGGGAGGTTCAGCTTCAGTCGCTGGTTCCTCTGTGGCCTCAGGGGTTGGATCCTCCAGCTCTGGGGTTTGGGGAGTGTCATCTGTGGTAGTTGATGCCTCCGTGGCTTCAAGGGTTGTCTCTGCAGGTTCTGTAGTTGGAGCAGGAGTGGTCAGTTGGATTTCAGGATCTAGAAGACAAACAGAAATTCGGTTCAGCCATTGGAATTGTTTTGCAGGTAGGCATTGCCTATAAGTGTATTATCAGCTATAGGTGCTTCCTTTGGAATAGGAAGACCTTTTTTAAATGGCCAAACTAGCCCGGACCATGTGAAAGGAACCAGGGAGTCCCTTTTGTCCACATGGAACTTTGAAGCAGCTCAGCTCAGTTTCAGGTGATCCCTTTTGGCCAACTTGGTGCTTTCCCGGGTTCAGGGTTTAGTTTAATGCTTGTAGGTGAGGCTGTCTGGGGTTTCCAGCTGCTTTCATGGAAAGGAAGCCACTTAATGAAATAGTCCTTCCAACAAAACACTTCCCTTCTCAGTCTATTATTTTGATTTATTCCACTGCCCTTCATTATAACTTAGCCTGCACCAACAACCTGGAGTTGGAGGAGAGAGGTAGGGAAGCAGGAAGAAAATAATTCCTGAACACAGAGCCCTGACTCCATCTCCTGCTGTATCTTTATTCCTTGGATTATTTTCCTCATTGTGATGCATGGATTTCAGGCTCTCTTTACTTGTATTTGTAGTTACATTTATTTGAGTAAAATTGTTGATATTCAGCAAAAAGAACAGTAAATGCTTCTGCATTTCAATGTCTCCCTAAGTATTCTCTCTCTGAGATTTTGGAGTTTAGTTCTGCTTTCACAAATGTTATGTGTTTAGTATGAGCAAAGTATTGCAGAATAGGTTTCACTCCCATCCCCTGTGTCTGAAATACCATAAGTCAGCTGGGATCCTATTAATGGTAATTTGAATTTCCTTAATTTTCTTTCATTTAATACACAATATTGTTCTTGGGGTTTGGGTTGGTTTTGTTGGGTATTTTTTTGTAATAGAAAATTGGAACAGCAGAAAATAAGTACTCCAAATCTAAAAAAAAACTGGGGGGAGGATTAAAATATTGACAGACTTCTAGTGTCTTTTTAATTGTTTCAAGTTCAAACTGGTCTCCTGAGTTATCACTTCAAATGCTGGAACACAGTACCAGAGAACAAATATTTTCCAGTCAGAATAAATAAACCATGTGTTCTCTGAAGCAGTATAAGGCCTGGCTTGATTAAAGCTAGAGGAGCCTGCTAGGACTTTTTCCTGTGCTGCCAGTTCACCACTGTCCCACCCTTCCTGTTCCAGCCACAGATGCTGTCCAAGACTGCCTGACTGTACCCTGTTTTTGGAGGATGTGTGAGAAAATCCAATAGAGACACGGGACACATCACCATTCTGCACTCTGTGCTGAGTGAACTCTCCAAAGTCCTGAGGGCTTGGTGAGGTAATCAGTTTATAAACCAAGTGCTTCCAAGCTTGGTAACTGTCTGGTAATGTCTAGGATCAGCTTTCTATTTCCAGAGCAGGGATATGGTCTTTAATGTTCCTTCAGGTAACACCCATCCTGGTGCATCCATATACTTGCCTACCTTCCACAGCTTCTTCTGGTGACTCTTCCTCATCTGTGGAGGACCTTTTAGATTTGTTTTCTGGAGGAGTCTCTGGGGTTGGTTTTTCTGTGTGTGCTGAAAGAGAGAAGTGCTTCCATTAACAGGTCATTTTATCTTTATAGGTGTTAACTGTATAAGAGTGATTACAAAATTTCAGTCACCATCTTCCATTTAAAACTAAGTTTCTTTTTATCTATAGGATTTTTTATACAATTATTTGTGTGGAAAAGAGCAAAAATACCCTTTGGATCCTGAAGTGTTTCATCACAGATGGGAGCAATATTTTTCCCAGAAGTTTGAGGTGAGGCATTATTAGCTAATGGCAATTTTGAGGGGGGAAAAGAGATGAATTCTGAGTGGAGCGCTACATTCTGAAATTTTGTCGTATTTTATTTCACTACAGATGGCTTTTCACTACTTGACTTTCACTACAGATAACTAACTAGTGGAAATAGGAGAGCTGTCATATTAGCCAAAAATTTGTTTTGATAATCCCCTTGCAGTTCTTCAGATGTGATAATTCCACACAAGTGATTGTTTTGGAGAGACATTTTAAAATAAATGGTTTCCTTGAAGGAGACAGGTGCTACAAAGCAGGCATGGACCAAGGAAACAACATGGGTATTAAGCTAACTTCTTGTAGGCTGAGTTTTAGGAGAAATAGGAGGTTGTGTTCACATTTTAGAGCTCCGAAGAGTGAAAGGAATTTCAGTTACATCCAGTAAGAGCCAGATAGTATTTTGTAATTTATTACTGATCAAATTGTACAATTGGAAATGAGCTACTAGCATAGCCTTGTAGAAGGAACTTGTTAGTTGTGAAGGAAATGTGATGGAGCTCAGGGAACTGTCCAAATAATTTTGATTTAGCCATAGGAGCTGGTAACTGGCAGAGGTGTGTGCAGTCAGCTTTTTACAAAAGGGAGTTTTGTCTCCAAGGGATGATCATGGTGTCAAAAGATTTATTTTCACAGCAAGCTAGTGCTCAAAGCAGGGAAGGTTGGGTATTGCACTATTTCCTGAAACCTTTATCGAGGAAGAGAGAGAAATTGTTGTTGTTGAAGATGAATGACTCCTTTGAAAGCCAGTTGTTGGGGAGGGGAATGTTTTGGCTATGTGTGTACATGTATTCAGGGAATAAAGAGCTTCTGGAGGACAGGAAAGATAACAGTGAAGTCTGGATATACATTGTATGCTTGGCTTTACTGTACAGAAAAAAAATGTTCAGAGGATGCTGAAACAGCAGATTTATTCCAAGAGGTTTAACAGATTTCTCACATAGTATAAATAATAAAATATATTCACACATAGTATAAAGAGTAAAATAATGAGTATAGTTGTTTGGGAGTTTTCTGCTGGATTTTTTGACAAAAATTGATAGCTAAGTTTAGTTCAATACAGAAGAAACTCTTTAAGACTAGGAACGGTTGACTAATTCTTCATTATATTTTAACTGAAGAAGTGAAATGGTTTAACAGTGTTTTGTGAGTGTTTGAGTGTGATAAACTCAGCAGAAAGAGGGAAATACTAAGCAGCCTCAAAAGCAGCAAATTCACCTCAATATGCTTCCAAGACACTTCTCTAGACATTCAGTCAAAAATGCTGAATACAGACTCTGTTTCAGTCTAAATTACTGTGCAATTGTGTGGCAAAGCCAAGCCACTATCCCAGCTCTTGGGGACCACTTGGATGAAGAGAACAAAATGATAATTGTGACTTATGTTGTATGTTAATGCTGCAGGCTTTGGGAATTGGCTGCCTTGGAGGTGGACTGCTCTGTGCATGCAGCAACCCCTTGCCAAGCCACATTTGTCAAGTGTGTTGGCAGAAATCAATTTAGGTCTGTAGGTACCAGAAAGTTTAAGGACATGATGAGATTATTGTTGTTTTTTAGAGTTCATTTGCTGGTGTCCTTAAAGCTACATGAGGGCGGGACTGCACCTCCAGATCTGTGCCTTTGTGCTCAGCTGAAACCCCAGCAGGCTCTGCAGAAAACGACAGAACAAAATAAGTGACTGCAGGTCAGTTTGATTCCTTCTTGGACTGAATGCCAGCCTAAAGGTAAAATGTGTGTTTTCTTAAATTTTTCTTGCTACAGTGTGAACATGTAACACCAGTTCCTCCCTTCTGCCTCACAGGATGGGTTTCTGTGTTAGGCTTCTCTTCCCACACTGGATTTGAGATGGGGAGAATCTAGGATGTGCATCTCTAATATGCAGCCAGTGACTGTGGTGACCCCAAGCAAGTGAACTGGAGGTCCAGGTACTGCTATCCCAAGGCATGGAGTAGCCATTACCCAATTTCAGATGGGTGGGGATTTTAACGGAGTTGAACCTTCCATAAATTTGAACCTTCCACCTTGTTTTTATAAGATGAACTCAGCTTTTTACTGCAATTCATTTATTCATCTGGCTAGTGGAAAAGGCCCTGGGGGTGCTGGTGACTGTGGCTGAATGTGAGGTAGGTGGACCAGGAGCCAATGACCCTGGGCTGTCCCAGCCCTGATGTGGCCACAGGCCCAGGGCAGTGGCTGTCCCCTGTGCTGGCACAGCTGAGGAACCTCAAGTGCTGTGCCCAGTTCCAGGCCTTCATGACCAGACAGACCTTGAGGGGCTGGAGCGGGTCCAGCTGGGGAAGGGTCTGGAGCCCCAGGAGCAGCTGAGGGAGCTGGGAAAGGGGCTCAGCCTGGAGAAAAGGAGGCTCAGGGGGGACCTTCTGGTTCTGCACTACTCCCTGACAGGAGGGGACAGCTGGCGGGGGGTGAGGCTCTGCTCCCAGGAACATGGGATAGGACAAGAAGGACAATGACCCCTAGGAGCACCAAGGGAGGTTTAGGTTACCAGGCTGCCCAGGGCAGGGGTGGAGTCCCCATCCCAGATGGGATTTAGAATATGTGTGTATGTGGCACTTGGGGACATGTTTTAGTGGTGGCCTTGGCAGTGCTGGGGGAATGGTTGGATACAATGATCTCAAAAGACCTTTTCCAAACAAAACTTTTCTGATTCCTCACCTTCCCTCATTTAATTTTATTATTGATGTACAGATCTTGTCCTTACATGTGGTATTCTGAGTAATGACTGATAGTTAGAGCGTGGCTAGTGCCAAAAGAGCCTAATGTAAAATACAACTTTACCCTTAGAATTCAAGTCTTGGTGGTGGCTTCCAGGATATCTACCTGTATGCTTCCATAAAGCGTTCACACTTGAGAAGTTGGCCGATTTGTTAGTGAAATTATGTTTTGTTATTTTTGTTGTTTTCCTTTGTCCAGTTTTTACCAAAGCCCACACAGTTTTGTTTATAGTAAAGCAAAGCACCTCTGTTTAAATATGTCTTAGAAAAACAGTGATGGAGAAATGTCTTACCCTCTTTACAATGCTTGGCGTAGTCTGGGCAGCATTTGCCATATCGCTCGCAGTCAGCATCGCAGTCACACTCCCTTCCCCTCTCGAAGGATTCAAAGCAGCGTCCCTCGCAGGAGATGGCTGCAGAGGCAGAGCAGTACAGTCAGGCTTTGGGCCAGCTCATGTGGAACGCTGGGACCTCTCTACAGTGAAGTCGTTTTCTTGAGCTGGTGCCAAGGGCAGCTCCGCAAAAAGCAGGCATTTATGCTGGTCTGATACAGGATTTGTCTGTAACTGGGGTTTGGATCAGGCAGTACTGCCAGAACAGCACTGCCTTGGATGTGAATCAAGACCATTAGATTGGCAGTGCAATAAAACATGACCACCGCGTTCACTTTAGCCAGGTCCCACCGTAGGAGGCTTATGCTTCCTCAACCGCAGAGCGGTGATCTCAAGAGTGATATTTAAATTCTGGGCTGGGTTTGTAGGAAAGTGTTCACCAGGGTATCCCTTTGCAACAAGAATGATGTGTCTGCCAAAGCATTTCTGAAAAATAATTGACCTAATTGGGTCACAACCAAATGTACCTGGTGTGTCCAGGTAAAGTGGTGCTGTCTAGTAAAGTTCTTAAATTATTAGTACCAAAGGACTGTATACCATGTTTTGACATGATTAATAACCACATGATTTTAATATTTCATGTTTGGTTAACTTATGAAACATCACTGACCAAACTGCTATTTAATTTCAAATAATGACCATATTGTGTTAGAAGGAGTGTGCACAGCTATTACAGATTTCAGAAAAAGCTTTCTCTATGTACATCTCTATTGAAGTCATTGTCTCTGTGGCACAGAAGGCATACAATCATGTTTTACAGTTAAATCACTGACTAGAAAAATTAGGATTACAGTATAGGCAGATTCTGAACATCTTTGGTTTAGTGTAGGTGTGGAATCAGTTTTGGTGCCAGCAGATCCATCCCATGTGCACAGGTGAGAATTATTTTTATTATCTTAGGGAAATTTTTATTCATAAATAATGTCTGCCATTTCTGCCATTTAGTCAGTGTTGATTCCACAACAACTGGACAACAGTTCTTAGCCAGACTGCCTGCATCCTTTCAGGATGGCACCTACTGTGCTTGCCTGGACTCACTGATTAGAGCAGAACAGAGAAGACTTCCTCTAGCCATAAACTTTTAGTTAAATGTTGTGTAGAAGCCAGAATACGTTTAGAATCTGACCCACAATGAATAAATAGCCTACATAATTAAAATGCCTCACTCTGCATCTTCAGCTGTGAAGTGCTGATGTCCCTCCACAAAGCAAAATGAGGATGGGGAAGACTGAAGGGCAAGTGTCCCAGTGTTTGCTTCAAGGCAGCAGAACTGGAATTTTAGGGAATGCTAGGTCTGCATTTTGAGCAACACTCAGTGGTGCTGGTTCTGGGAAATATTTGTTACTCCTCTAACCCTACTGGAACCACAGTGTAGTGTAACAAACCATTGTAATCCAAATCACTGACATTTCTGACACTGGTGATTCCCAAGAAAATGCTTTTAATGCTTAGTGAAGCAGTTTGAAAAACCTATGTTTATTTACATTGTATAGTTTTGCCTATAACTAAAGCATAAATACTCATCCAACCACCTTTTCCAGCAGACTCTGGACATGGTTCTGATCCAGAGTCAATTTTTGCCCATGGAAGGACACCCTGGCTTTGGATTAGACCTCATAGTATCCACACTTCTTAAATTTGAGTTGGAGTATGTCAGAATTTCTTTCTGCAAAACCCTGAATTGGCTTTTACTGCTTCTTTTCTTTGTATAAGAGACAGACACATACAGTACAAATTCACTAAGGAGTAGAAAACAAACAATAAACTGTTTTTTCCCATCTTGCCTGGTTCTGCTTTTGTAGAAAGCAAAATTCTTTGCTTGGCAAAATAACCTGTGGATACGCAATTTTCTTTGGATTGCAAGAGGTTATCCTGAGTATTTGAGGGGATCAACAATACGAGTATGAGAGGGAACAACGACACAGCAAACCAACAGACATTTAAGCATTCAGAGAGGAGACACTGGTGTGGTAGGGAGCTGGGACGGGAATTTTGAGGAGAGGAACTGGCTGTGTTTGGGAACTTACCCACTGTGCAGACTTTCCTGAAGTCAGGGCAGCACTCCATGTAGTGGTGACAGTTAAAATCACACTGGCAGTCATGCTCTCTAGAATACCCTGCCCCACATCTCCCTGTACAGCTCGATTCATCTAAAATCACACAACACTGGCGTAAGCGTTGCCACATCACAACTGTCCTTAAGGAAATGCTGAATGGAAAAGGAGTAAAGTTTCTCTCTTTTCCTAAATAATGTGGTTTCTTTACTCAGTACTGCAGAAGCTGAGGGCCTGTTGTGACCCCCCCCGCCTCAAAGGTGTGGGGAGCAGAGGTTTGCTCTCAGCCAGCCTGAAGACCAGCAGCAGCACATGTTCAGGTTAGAGAGGTCTACCACTGAGCTAACTTAACCTGTTCCTTCTGAAAAGTAAGGAATCCTAGAAGATTGCTTCTGTAGTATGACCACTGGCATCCAAACTAGCCCCTTAGACAATGTATCAGCTTTGCTGGCTAATTCTCCAATTTGATTCACTCTCTGTATGGTAATAGGTGTGCATCTGCACACCCATACCTGACAGACCCCCTAGGTGTCTGGTTTTTACTATTGGTAATGCTATTCCTAATAACTCATCTAATCAGGTTACTTGCAAACTGGAAAGCACTGTCATAATAAACACAGGTCCCTGAAGCCATTTTTATTGGGAGTTTCAAAATCTGTCTATTCTCTACACTATATTTTTTCCCCCTGATGTTGGGGAAGAAATTGGTATCAGCTCTAAGGTTAAGAACAGTTGGCATCTAGCCCTGCTACCCCTATGAAGTATAGTTTGTCAATTAGAAGATTACTTACTAGCAGACTAACAGAAAAGCTTATCATACAATGGCTTTACTGGCAGATTTCTGGGAAATGTTTTATAATAGGAAATAGTGCAGATAACAGGTGGTAAAGCAAGACATCAGGAGGTGTCTTGCTTTATCCCGTGATCATTCCAGCTTGGCAGTGCCTTGCTACGTTCTGCTGCCAAATTAGAGATTCACACTGCAGCCCTCCCCTTTCTCTGTGAAATCCTTGCTAACACAACCAGCTAACAGCTTCTTCTGGAAATGAAACATGCAGGACCACAAGTGAAGCGTCCCTAAATACAAACAAAGAAGCTGAACAATCAGCAAGCTCAAACAGATAATCAGCTGAAACATTGAGGAATGACAAGGAAATAACATGTAACACAACACCAAAGACAATTTCTAACAGTGCACACTCCACGTGTGTGAGTCTGAAGGAAGAACATGGGATAACAAATATTATATCTATTGGATATAATGTGATTTTCAGCCTGTACTTTTAATGCTCGTTACCACTTTGTTACAAATAGAGAAGTAGAACCAAGGAATAACTGGAGACATTAATGGACTTGAGGTACTGGGCTATTAATAAAACAGTTCAAAAGATGGACATCTTTTTTTATGGCTATATGCCAAATATATTGAACCCTTCTTCCTTTATGTAAAGAAAATAAGTCCAGTAGTTATACAGTTAATATATAGTAGTCCAATACTTATACCTCTTCATTTGTTTCTTTTAAGTTTATGACTTATAAGTTACGGAGTTACTCGTAAGGAAAATGCCTGAATGGTCCTGGGTGCTGCTGGCAAAAGTCTTGATTTTTGCTGAAAGTGGTGGGAAGGCATCAGTTATCAAGGGGTCAGCATAAGGTCATATCTGGCATGGGGTGTGCCCTGAGGAGCTGTTCAGATACATGACATTGTCCCTTCTGCTATCAAGTAGTAATAAATCATTTTCTACCAGCAAGTAATACCCAGTGTTATTCCCCTGAAAATCTGGGAGCTACCAGTGAACTGCAACAGCACAGAATTTGCCAAGTAGAATGTTCTGCTTCACCATGACAGTGTTACTTTAGTTAGGAATCAGTTATAGAGCTTGGAATATCATTAGACAAATAATTCTGCAAATTTGCCTCAGTGGTGTGATAATGGTACATTTAATGGGAAAGCACCTAGCAAGGTAGAGACATTCATTTCTCTGAACTTATTGAAATATTTCTAGCCAACCTTCATGGATATTCTCATTTTAGATCAAACTACAAATCACTAGGGCTAAATACATCAGTATAGGGGCAAGAGGCTCTGTAGACTGTCTACAGAGAAAGTAGTAAGTTCATACACATTCTGCATTACATTTATATTTTTATATTATTCCTAAAAAAAAGACCATGCTACACTAAAATTTCTTTATGAAAATATTCAGTAACGGTAAAACAGGATTCATATTTTCTGTCTTAATAAAGTTCTAGAACTTAGTATTTTATGAAGATGCATTTGAAATATTCATGTGTATCAGACACATTCCTAGACACCCTCCCTTCAGCTTTGTGTGTTACAGTACCTTGAGAAGACACTTCTGGAATCAATGACAGTGAAAGGACCACCAGGGATAAGCAAAATATGTTCCATATGATCATAACTTTCAGGTACGACATCATTCCTAAAAATAAGTAATCTCACATCACTATCTGCAATTCACTTAATTCATAATTTTAAAAATGCAGTACATATCTTTATATATAAGACCAGTTTGATAAAAACATAAAATAAATAATAAAACTTTTCAAGGAAAAATTGCTAATTTATAATTACTCCATAAATTCCCTCTTGATCATTAGTCAATTAGCTATTAAATTCTGTAGTAAGACTATAGAAATTCATTATCAACAAATAATAGAAATAAATTGTTGCAGAATTGTTACATGAAGACTACAGTCACAGTTGTCTTCTAACATGGGTACACTTCAGCACAACAATATTTAAAGGTATAATACTGATAAATGAAAATCTATAATAAAACCAAATATTGACAGAATATGAGTTATTCAGCAACATAATTTTATAAATCATAAGCTAACATTGAAATATGTAAAATGGAAAAAATAGGCTAAAAGTAAATCTTCCTTCAAAAGGAAAACTTTGGGTTTTCTGTCCCAGTTCCTTGTTTGCTATTGAAGAAGAGTTCTGGCTAGAGACAGGTGTAGCACTTACCTAGCAGAGAGTGTGTCTGCTCCCAGAGCTGTTGCAAAGTCCTTTTATATTGCTTTGGAACTGTGCTGGGGTCAGGTAATTAGGCAGCTTGCTAAACACACCATCAATGACAGCTCATGACAGCAAACTTTCCACAGGGCTTGGAAGAGGGCCTGGATGACTAGAGTAACACAACATCTGGAAAATACTCCCATTAAGAAAAACGATTACAGAAAAAACTAAATAGGGACTTACTAGTCAAAACACATTTTGATTAGTGAGAGAAATGAACAAATTGTCCTCAATGCATCTGGAAGGCATTAGAGTATTGCAGAGCAATAGAAAATCATTACAGGCAAATGCTGAGTGTATTTTCTTTCCTGTCAAATGACTCTTAGGTGACAGTAGCCTGAAATTATGCTGTTTTATCTGCTACTGATGGTGTATCTTCTCCAAAAAGCTGTAAGAGCTAATTCATACAGACATAAGTAATTTACCACTTGCACTGAGTATTTTGTACTTTTCCCCTGAACTAAATGGAAACATTGCCAAGGCATTGGCTAGCAATCAAAGAGTTGAGTCAAATCTCAAAGTTTTTGAACATACGATATGTAAGACATCAAAAATGAATGAAAGAGCCGTTAATTGTTTTAATGGTCTTTGTGTTCATTGGTTCCAGATTCAGGATAGTGGAAATGGTCATTCGTAACTCTCAGAGCTAAAGAAGGTTTTAACTGTAACTTTTATAGACGTGACTCTTGGCGTTAGGGGGGGATTTTTTATTCAGAAATTATCCTAAAAGCCAGGGAACTTTAATACTTCTCCTTTATGGTATTACTTGAGTCCCAAAGTAGTTCTGTTAACACAAAATAATAAATCTGGTATAGTACACATTGATCCCAGTTGAGGAAAGGACTTCAAATAAAAAGGAGACTCTTTAAGGAAAATAATGCAGAATAGGAGTGGGTTTAAACATTTTAAACATGAAGTTTTCCTCACTTGGTTCACTGACTGTACAGCTTTAGTATTTTTATGTTAGAATTTCTAATTTCTGTATTATCACAATAGAGAGATTTTCATTCAGTCTTTCTGCATTGTGTGCAGATGGAATAAGTGTTTTACTTGAATTAAATGGTGTAACTATTACTCTACTTTGTGGAAAAGGGGAGAATGTGTTTTTATGGAGTTTATACAAGGACATACAAAAAGAAAGGTATATTACATGTCTTATAATAAGAGTTTCAGGGCTGTCTTTAGTGGACTATAGGCTTGATAAAGAAACCCTGGCTTGGGTAGAATGGTGCCTGTCTATGATTATTTGAAGCCTGGGGAAGAAGTACTTGTAAGAGTAACCAGAAAGGATCAACATGATGAGAAGTTTCCTAGAAAAGTACTGAAACCTTTCTAACTTAATTAATTTATAATTTCATCAAGTAAAACATTTAAGACTAAATTAATGGGTATATCCTTACTTTGAGATCCATGATATGGAGGAGATTTGTTGTCTTTTCCATCAATTCACAGCTGGTGCAGCTGTGAGTCCTAGTTAATACTGCCTGGCTACCTGAGGTGAATATGTGTATGTGTGTGTGTGTGTGTATGACTCAATAAAAAGAAACAGAAGACCAAAATTATTATCATTTTCATGTTAACATGCCAGGGTTCAACTGAGTCATACAATTAAGTATATACACACTAGAAATATGAGTAGTCGTGACTGGCTGCTACATTGTGTTATGGATGTTCCTTTTGGTAGGATTCTATTGTTTCATTTCTCTTCTGAATTGAAGTTTTGGATTGTTACAGATCACATGGGGTTGCAAAGTTTGAGTGAAAAGAATGTCGTAAGTGGATCAAAAGGCTGTGAGGAGCACTTAAGACAGTAGTGTCTCTGTGGCATGGCATCCATTGAGATGGGTGGTCAGACAACACTCAGGTGGGGGCTGACCAGCTTTTGCTGGTCTTCCCTTTGTTTTTAGGCATGGATTTTGAAATCCTGCTTTAAATTATTTTTATGGATTCTTATAGGTGGCAAGAAAAGCACTCAGGGCACATATGATGGGCAGAGTGTGCTCCTGCTGCTGTGCCCAGGTTGGAATGCAGGGAAAAGGGCCTGGAGAGGATCAGGGGAGAGAGAGCTCCATCCCAAACACAGATAAAACATAGGGAAAGTACAAAATGTTCCATTTCCTTCTTTTGATTTCAGCTGCCTTTAAGGAAACAAGATTCATTACATTCCTGATGAGTAAATAAGGATACATGGCTTCACCAGCATTTTGTCTTAAAGTAGCACATGTGACCTAATAATGTGGTTAGTCACTCCTATCAAAAAGAGAGAACCTTATTTTTTATCTGATTTTTATTCCTTTACTTAGATATCAACTGGCCAGTCATTTAATTTGGCAAGGCTTTCAGGCAACGTAAACCCTTCATCAGACCTTGGCATGTGTATCTGAAATCTTATCTGTACTTCCAACTTCCCTAGTAGATTGCATTTAAAAAAAAAAGAAGAGGTAAAAAAAAGAAAAAGAAAAGCCTTTCCTTCCAAACCCTGCTTTGCCTGTGTACTGAGATTATCCCAATTACAGCACAATTTCTGTTATTTTTATTTCTGAATGAACAGGTTCCCTACACTGATGCCTGTGACCCAGCAATGTCTTTTCAGGCCTTGGGTTTTCCACAACCTCATCAGTCAGTCACATTTATGACAGTGGTTTGGGCATGTGATCATATTCACTGGGATCACATGAAAAATATAAATCAGTGAAATCCCAGACTACAGTTGTTAGAATGATCTGGGCCTGCTCTGACAGAGCCTTACTGCTTTTTCAGTTCCATCATTGATCCCCTTTGTAAACCCATCAGGATCCTCAAAATATCCTGTGATTTTCAGATGAACACTAAGTTACCTTGGGTGTTCTTGATGCCTTAAGTTTTAGCTTTCATGTATTTCCTAGGTGTGTAGTTTTGAACTTCATATTAAGTGTTAGTGAGCTCTCTCCAGAGTAGGTAGACAAAACAACTTATTTTCTAGCTTGATACCAAGGGCAGTTGTTACAAATTTCAGGCCCAAAAGCATAAACAACGGTGGACTGAAGAGGGAAAACAAGAAGGATGGGACTTCATAACCTGAAGCAGTGATTGGACAATTAACACTGATACACAGATGGACCAAAACTTATAAAAATGTGAAACCTCGTGACCAGTCATTCATTTTGTGATCATTTTTAGGTTCATCTTGGGTGTAGCTCTGGCCAGGGTCTTGTACTGCCCAAGGTGTATCCTTTAAGACCTTTCAATAAATACCTACTTTATTCTTAACTCTGTCTAGACTTGGTTCTAGGTCAGCCTTCTCAAGGCATCACTCTGACTCCCTGTAAAGACTCAAGAAGAGCTGCTGGGGAATCCCAGCAGAAGTGATACACACAAACTGAGCTGAGCAAGAGGAAAGGGAAAAGGTACTTGGAGTAATGTTGGCCTGTTAAATATTCACTGATTGGTGAACCCTTATTTCTCGTAAAAGGAATCACAGAAGGAATGTAATTGCAAGTTAAATGAGAATGCTGGAGGTCTCACTAAAGTTACTAAGAAAAATTATCAAGAATCACAGAAAAATTTTGGTCTTGCAGGAAGGACTTTCAGGGCTGGGGTATTGTGGGGGGAAAGGAAGGCAATGGTGTAGAGGAGATAGAAGCCTTCATGTGGTAAGGTCATGGGATTACAGTTCCGGGACAACTGATCAAAGGTGCTTCTTTGTCTTGCCTTCCAGTCTGTCACTTTCTTTTGTGCACAACTGACTCATTTCATTGGCATTTCATCTAAGTAAAAAAAAAAATTAAAAAAATAGTTAATTTGAAAGAACAGCTCTGGCTTTCAAGATAAAGGACAAAGGACCCTAGCTTTTCCATAGTACTGCAATGAATTCTGCTGCACCAAGGCTCAAAATGCTCACATACACCATCCTGATGCAAATATAGATTTATTGTATTTCCAATTCTGAAAAACGTGAGAAAATATTTTAAAAGTAAGAAGTGAAGAGGAAAATATGACTTAGATATTACATTTGTTCTCACAAAAATCTCAAGTAAGCCCATAATGATAGGTGGAAGAAGGATAGAATCTGCAGGTTTGTGTTATTTTTATAGTACTACCAATATCAGTAGCAGAAATATTTTTATTCCAGAAAAGCCTTTAAACTCAGTATAGGTGTAGACATTATGGAACATCTTGAAGAGCACAAAAAGGAAAAGCAGATTTGCTGGCTGATTACATCTATGGATGTAATGGACTTCTCTGGAGCCTTGGCCATAAGAACATCATTTTATAGCTGTCATAATATTTCTCAGTAGGTCCTCACAAGTTTCCCTAAAATAATTGTAAAGGTTTTTATCCCAAAGCTAGAGCATGGGTTTATTTGAGCTAAACTGGAATCTCATTTTATGTGTAATCGGTGCTCTGATTCATACAACAGGACAGACTTCATGGCAGAAAATTACTGAGAAAAATCTTTTGGGGAATGTCTGTCATAACAGGACCTCATTAAATAAAAAATATTTAACTTCTTTTTCCCTACAGGAGTTATTCTTCTTTGAACCTGGGCCTAGTGAAACGGTTATAGATTTGAATACAGATTGCTAATAAAAGTGAGTACTGTTTCATAAAAAATATCTCATAAAATGAAATATATTTCATATTGTTTGTTTGTTTGTTTTTTTATTCATATAGTGTATTGACTAATTCTACTGAATCATATCTGTGAGAAAACAAGATATCTAACTGTAGGAAGAAAAAAACTCAAGCACCATTTGATTAACATGAGGAATGGCCCAGGATAAGAAGAATGAAGAAAATTAACATGAGAAAGGAAAAATCTCGGAGAGCAAGAAGTTATATATGTTGTCTGTAACGTAAGAAATTATGTTTAGCAGTTAAACCAGAATTCTCAGTTCAACAGTAGGACCTGAATTAGCAGTGGCTCCTGGAAATCTTGGGAATGAAAGATGCAGACAATTCTTTCAGTTTAGGTATGCCATTACCCCTTCAGGACAGATACTAGAGACTCCCAGAAACAGTCACCATTTTTCATATGGCTGATAAATAACACCTTCAGTTTGGCAAAGAACAGTGAAAAGGTGTCAGATGGGGTTTTTCAAACTTGGTATGAAGTAATTTTCATGTAACATGAAGAATTATCTTAGACATCACACTCAAGCTACTATAAATAAATCTTTTAACAGATTTTCAAGCTTTCACTTCTTATGTACTTATGCAAAAGTAATCTGTTTGAATGTGTATATGCAAAGGGGGAAATCTTCCTTGATCAGCATAATTTTAGAAGTGTGATGAGTGGATTTTAATGTAAACAGCTCTGAGATGTGTTTTTTTGGCTTTTTTTTTTTTTCGGGACTTTTCTGCTGTTCCTTGACTTCAGAGTGAGAACTGAATAGTAACTTCTTATGTACATTCAACAGGGAGCTCTCAAAAGTCAAATAAGCTCCTGTACCTTTCCTGGGACTATTGAATACTCTGTATTAATGGTAGTGGAGAAAGCTTTGGTTAAAGCTGCCAGAAGCTTGTGGAACCTGCTTTCTTTCTTACTGGAAACATTGTTTTACAGGAATCTGAATTATTTTTGTGAAATGTTCAGTACTTCTGTCTATTCAGATTCTGTTGTTTAAAAGACACCTACAGTGAACAAGGGTTGCCTGGGTGATTGGCAGAGTGAATTGTCTCAGCACTTCAAATCCCCTTTTCTTTGGCAGAGGTAAAGGTATTTAAAACACAAGAAAATGTTCATTTCCCTTTCATTTTCAGTGACCTTTGAAATTGTTGTATTCTCTTTTAAATGCTTTCAACATGAACTCTGCCTCTAAAAGATTAGTTTTCTCAGACCTCTTGCAAGAGTTGCACAAGCACAGCATGATTGCAGCAGCTCCAAGCAGGGCACTGAGGCTCCGCAGTTCTGAGTTTGTACTTCAAATATAACAGGAATTTTCTGTCTACACATGAAATGATGGCAAATATGTAAATTGTTCAGCAAGGCTGTGTTATATCAGAAGTTGTACAGTGCTGATCTGAAGCAGGAGTGATCTGCTGCAAAGGCAAAATTCTTGACCTTAACTGATGAGAGAGAATAAAATTTAAAAAAACCCAAGCTGTAGTTGTTTTCCAGATATCTTTCTGATCTATCAGGAAATTTCTAGGCATTGGCTTCTGTTTGCCTATAATTAAATCTGGGGTTAGATGTATTAGGTTTTAGAAATCTAAAACTGAAAGCCCATGTAATTACCTGTTTCTCAAGGGCACCAGCATGGTGGTAGGAGTTCCCTTCTAGCAGGGAGTGCCTTACCTCTCCTAAATAGTTCTTCTTCACAGCATTGACTGCCAGCAGTCACAGCTATTGGGGCTGGGGGTGTGAACTAGTCCCCATGTCCTTCCTGAGGGGTGACTGTGCTGGAGACTTAGGTCAAGGTCAAACTTTAGAAATATGAGCCTCTGTGGATTTTAAAATCCCAAGGAGTTAAAAGAGCAGCTTTTCTGTTTAAATGATTCATCCACCTTCTAGACTTCAAATTAAATTTATGTTTTGAATTAGATTCTAAATCAGTGATTCAACTTTGTGGTGTCCAGTTTCAGGGAGGTGCCTGGCACAGCCCTGCTGCTCTCATTTACTGTAGGGATTGATTGATATACTGATATTACTAAGCATTTATTTGGGCTCACAGTCAGGGCTTCTGGTGTTGGAGTTCTGGCACTGAAGGTTAAAAGAAGGGCTGAGGGCTAACAGAGGTCTTACCTTCTGCATTATCATAGGAATTATCTCCACAGTAAAACTCAGTTTAGGGTCTTGTCCTGGTTTAGGGCAAATCTGGGAAAAACCTCTGAATTGGGTCCCGCCAGAAAGCAAATTCACGTGGCCCCTCCCCCAACTTTTTCACAGAGAAAAGTGGAAAAAACTGTTTATTTAACAGAAATTGAATAACATTAAACAATAAAACCTCTTGCTGTTCGAGGAGATGACAAATCTAGAAAAGTCCTTGTCATGGGGTGTAGCTGGGCTCGCTCAGTCTCAGTCCCTCCGGTGTTGGAAAGTGCCGAGGCCCAGGCCCCGGTGGGCCACAGGCGTGAGCTCCCGGGGTTTGGCTGGGGTTTCAGTCCACAGCAGGTTTGAACAGACTCAAGAAAAAGGATAAAAACAGTCTGGGGAACTTCTCTGCCTCAGCTAGCTGAAAACTAACAAAAAGCAAAGTAGAGCTCTGTCCCACTGTCTGTCTGTGCTGCAGACAACACAGTCCAGAGCAGCATGTGGGGCAGTGAGTGCAGTTTCTGAAAACAAACTGCACGCTGCTTCTTCCCCACTTGGCTCTTGGAACCAGTGTTAAGGGTGCAGAACTTAATATCCAGCATAAACAGAAGAGACAACTGGGGATACAAGCATAATAAAGTCACCCCATGACATGTCTTCATGATACTTACATTTATGGCTAGCATTCAGTATATGTTTAGTAATAGCATTTCAGTGTATTTCATTAAAGTTTAATTTATATATTTCAGTTTTGGTCTAAATTTCAGAGATTTGTGTGTTTCAGTTGCTTCATATGTTACTGTAAGGATTTGCCTTATTGTTGAGGTTAGCCTAAGGATGTGGGTTGGAGTCAATATTTAGGCTTCTACAGCCCAAAAAATATCAGCAGACATGACCCACAACCATTTTACTTTTATAGATGGACTAATCTCTGCCTATAAGGAAGACTGGATTTAACAATTCAGTACATCAATATGTACATTATCAGGGGATTGAAGAGATAGGACTAGAGTTAGGAGAAATCTAATCTGGTACTTAAAACCAGGGTTAGAGGATTTAAAATTAGGATTACGAAATTTGGTGCTGTCTGTGGTATAGATTTTTGACTGTTGACGTGTCTAGGTTTTAATTGGGGATTGCCTTTGTGTTTAAAGTCTGAATTCCCAGAACTGGTTTTCTGGTGTACTTTACAGAGCTATAATTTGTACTGATGTCAACCTTTGGCTGTAAGTATGTGACATTTAAATATGTAATATTTTTTACTGCATAGATGGGTATGTTAAAGTCTGGTTTAACATTTGGGAAACTATAGTGCCAGAAACCCATTTTATTGATTGCTGCTATTGGCATTACTTATCCTAACAGGGCTTAGACTAAACCCATCACAGACTGTTGCCTTAATAACAGGGAGAAAATCCTTGTAATGTTCCCAGAAAGATAAAACATAAGCATCTCTCCATCCCAGCTCATTCACCTCCATATAGAATATATGAATGTGATGCATGTCTAGGAAAAGAATGTGGGCTATGAACTGCCGTGCTCTGGAATGTTTAATCACCAGTCAGGAACAGGAAAAGACATCTTTCTCTTCCCCAAGGCACAGCATGGGAGAGCAGGTGCATCTGACAGGCTTTGTACCTTGATTGGCATCACTGTCAAGGGAAAATGAATACCAAAGTTTGGCAACAGTTTCCTATATTTTCTGTAACTGGCACCTGAGACTGAATTGGTGTCACCAAACATGGTCTGCTCTGTTTCTGTCACAGTGTTCTCTGTGCTGATAGCTCTTTAACTCAACTTTTTGAGGGACTCTGAGCTGTAACGAGGACTGCAAGGAAAAGAAAACCTTTCTGGAAGAGAAACAAGCAGTTTGCATCACTCTCTGATGTGCTGACAGTTTTGTAGATAATACCTACCTGCAATAAAAGCCTAGTTTGAAGAAAAACTATTTCCCTCAGCTGGACTTTGAATTCCCTTTCTAGCACAGAAAGCGGGAAGGAACTTTTTTTTTTTTTTTTTTTTTTTTAACTCCCATCCCAAAAGATTAGAACAGGCTTTGGATGTCAGATTCCAACACAAAAAGAAAGGTGCATTTGTAAAGGACACACTAGAAGAACAAGTTTAAAGGAAGTATCAGGTCATCCTTACAAGCTTCTCTTTTTCCAAAGGAAAAAGAAAGTGCTTTGCAGACCAAACAAGAAAAGTCCTTTCCCTCAGCACCTATCTTGTTTCAGTACATCATCAGAGATGTATCTGGAGGATGGGACTTTTTACAGGCAGCCTTCTTTCATTCACTTCAGCATGAATAATGTTTATGTGACTGAAGCAGTTGGTTTGAAGATGAAAATTATAATACACCACCCTTAAGACAATCCTATTCTTGAAAGATTGAGTTCAGGGTATTGGCAACATGCTTTGCTAAAAGTTAATTTTCAGAAAATAAGAGAAAATCCAAGGGATGCTGGTAAAGAATATGGGTTGACATGAGCATATTCTTACAGGAGAAAATAATATATCCTGTGTTTATGGTTGCTGTGCCTGAGAAACAAGTATCATATAGGCTCAATCAGACTAGAAAGAAAAGAATTTGCATAACTGTGATAATATACGATAACTGCTGCTTGAAAGCATGGCCTTCCAGTAATCCTGTTAGTAATGAAATGACATTGCCAATTGCTTCCTTTTCTTCTGGGAAGTGAAAACCTAAGGTATGGGGTGGAGGTGCATGTACCAAAATACTGACAATGAACATTAGAGCCCCTGCTCTGCCTGTGTTTTAGTAAATGATTCAGCTGAATTCTTGCTGCTGTTTCAATGCAGGACATGAGAAGTGAGCAG